ACCAGAGAAACAGGACTCAGTCTTTGATGAATTAAAGCCTGTCATCTGCCAAGGACTGTGGAATGAGGCTTGGAAGCTCAGAAGCACATATCAAGTTCAAGTTCTCAATACGGAAGTATCCAACAATTCCTGCAGGTAGTGAGTTCACTCAGGAGAAAGAAGAAATAGGAATTGGACCAACCAATAACGTGTGGACCTGAGACACTAGGACAATTGAAGAAAGCAAAAGTTATGCAATATGATGCTGATCCTAAAAGTAGACTCCAACAAGTGAGAGCTTAATGGGTGAAGAGTGCCCCCATTCTCATCAGGAGACCACCCAATACAGTCCAAGACCCAATAGTCAGTAATTCATTGATTTCAAAAATATTTATTGAGTACCTACTACATACAGGCACCACTGCAGGCCCTGGAGACACAATGGTGAATGAAAAATAAAGACACTGTTCTCGGGACACTACTGTTCTAGTAGGTCCATTCAACAAAATCCCCTAATTTGCTTGCAACGCAGAAGAACAAGACACAAGTGGCTGTCTACCTAGTTGACTTCCCATACTCTTGAATTGGGACGACAGCACTGTAGGTTTCATACACACAGTGAAGGCCTCCAGTTTGGGAAAAACATTTTGCCTTTGCCGGTGGCAAACGTTCATGTAGTAACTTCTCACTTTCATACCAAAGGCCACAGTCAAGAAAGAACAAGGGAGGAAAGAGTTGCTAATGGTGACAAGGAGGATGTTAGTGCACAAGTAGACCTCTGTCCTCATGCCCTTCCCAATCTCCCTCCCTCACTCCTCCCAGGGTCCCACTGGAGAAAAAAAAAGTTTCAACAGTGTCATGAAGGTGCTCTGGTGTTCTCCATGGTTAAACCATACTGAGCATCTCCAAGTGGGCAGCCACAATTGTAAGCTTTCCTGTAGCAATGAAATAGACGTATTTAATGCAGCAATGCTTTATCCAAAGCTATCATTTTAAGGTGTATGTGTAATATAAAATATTTATGCTATTTATAAGTGTATTCGTATTTCAGAAGGAATTACATCTCTAGGGTTATAATAAAATGCAATAGGAAAACTCTACGCAGTTGACATAATGCAATTTCCACAGATATTCGTCACATCAATTGCATTATGTCACGTGCACACAATCAACACTACCATATTTATCAATTATTA